TAAATAGCCAAGAAGTATGTAAAATAACTAATGGAATCAGATCTCTCTGACTGCCCCAGCAGCACAGGTGTTCAGTGCTGTGCATAGAAAGTTGGATCCCACAGGGCTGAATGCAGTTCAAATCTCGGTCCCCACAGCTCGAACAGCACACCAGATGCATGTGTATGTGTGCCCAAAGTCCTGGTTTGTGAAAATAAGTGGAGAAGAGATTGCGCTGGTACGTGTGTGCGTGTGCCCAACATCCCGAGATGAGAATGGAGGAGAAGGGATTGAACGTGACTGTCACTCCTGGAGGAATGATTTCTCACATGTGACCTATAGCAAAACTAAAAACAAGTAAACATAAAATCAGAATATCGAATTCAGGATCTGAGTTTGGAGAACTACTCTGACCTAAACCACCAGAACATCAGCTGCGTTTTCCTTCTCAGGACTGAACACAGGTGGCCTCTGATCCCCACTGTACACAGCCCTCTATGCCAGGTGGCTGTCTCCTGTAGGTTCCTCCTCCTACAGTCTTCTCTAGGCCTCAACATGGGAGCTGTTCTGCCTTCTGCAGTTATTCATGGCTGTGTCATCACAGCATCTCCTTTGCTCTTACAGTCATCCTTAACTGTGTACCCTATTGTCTGCATTATAATTGCCTCCCTTCAAAATGCCTAGTACTTTTATTTCTTTCCAGTCGAACCTATGAATATATTTGTGAATGGATTGTCAAATTAATGGGTATTTGGACAGCATGGGTCATGAAATTATTCAACTGGCACTTCTCAAATTGTGCAGTGGTTGCAGTTGTTTTTAATGGACCAAGCTGCACCTTAAGCTGTGTCTTACAGTGTGCTAATAATGACATACTTATCTGAAAGTCCAGAGGAAACAGTAAACGCAGACGTCTTGAGTCAGCTACTATTCCAGATCCCAGATTTTTATGGTGTCATCTCCATGGAATTAAGAGTATGCTAAAAGATTCTTCTACTGTGCTTTTTCTGAATATAAATGATTTTCTTAAATTTCACTGTTGGCATCTGAAAATGCCTTGAAATGTCATGATTTTCATATGGCAACACCTTGATTTATATGTCTATAAGATATATATTTTATGAAAAATTTGCATTGTGATCCAGAAGTTACTTATTATATTAATGCACCCATGCCATATGTAGCATAATCAGAAACTACTGTGCAAGAAATCATCGACTTGAAAATTGCATCTGCTAATTTTAAAATGACTCTAATGTAAAAGATACATCTGTTTATTCGTAGGATACAACCAGAAGTTCTTAATTAAGAACCTATAGTGACTCCATAAAGCTCATGCACCAAAACCATCTAGAATACGCTTATTTTTTTAATCATTTTAATTTCTTTTATACATTCAATCACTATCCATCATACAACTTGAAAAGTGAATGTATTCAACATGAATACAGTTCACACCAGTCCAGTTAAATGATGTCGTTTTTCCATCTTAGAGGAGCTGGCATTCTCTGTCATTTTAAGCCCATGAGGAGGTGTGTACATTCAAGGTTGGATTATCGCCCTCAAAGCTTCAGTCTACCTCTGCTTTGGTCATGACTCTCCACAGTTTTCATCTGAGAACCTGGTGTTTTCTACAGAGTCCTTCACTTAATCACTCCCAGAAATCCGACACTTGTCAACCTATCCAAAATCTCAACACTGATTTTTAGTAGTTTTTTGTTAGGTTTTGCCTGTCTCCCCTCCAGACCCAGGTTTGGACAAAGAAATTTACAAAGAAAAGCACCCAGGTATTTAAGCTCTCCAAGTTGTCATGAAAGACTCTGCTGGTTTGTGTGATTAACCCCCACAAAAGCCAGTTTGGGTACAAAGCCCAAGTTGTCACTGCCTGGTTGGGTCTAGAACAAAAGCAGCTGCAGAAGCTCAGGTCTCCAACTGAGAGTCAGCCCTCTCAGGAGTATTGGTCCCTGTAGTTCCCTGGCCTCAGCTTCCCTGCTGCTTTCAAATAACACCTTCTGTTGTCTGTTAGAGCACTTACTTGCTGCCAGCAGCTTTAACAACAGAAAGGGATTTAACTTGATGAATGTGGTACTTATAAATGTATTGCAAATACTGAAGAGTGATCTCTACCCATAAATCAAGGAATAATCTGAAGATCAATAGTACTAATACTGACTGGGCTCTCCAGGGCAGCTGTTACCTCTTCAACACTCACATAGATGGGAAATCAGCAGGAGACCACTGACGGAACAGGGAAGGATGGCTTAAAGGACATCACATGATACATACAGCAAATATAGCAGAACCCAAGGTCAACACCAAGGCTCTGGACCCACTGGAACCTACTGACTAAATACAGACTTGCTGCCGCGGCAAACGGTAAAACGAGGCCGGGCCATGACTGTTGCCAGAAGTACTTCAGCAGCAGGGTTTAACCTCTATCTCACTCACGGGAATGTTTGGGAGGTCTGTATGAGTAGCCTGTAGTTTATTGTCCCTCCATTTAATAATGCCACTGCAGGGAACCAGCAGTTAGCGTAATGGCTATGTCGCTGGACTCCCACATAGCCAACCGTGGTTCGCGTCCAGGACCCGGTGGCTTAAAACTCACGCCGGGCGCGTGTGCGTGCGTGCCCAGGATCCCAAGAGGAGAACGGAGGAGAAGGGATTGCAGCGTGACCATCACCCCTGGGGGATGATTTCTCGCTTTCTGTCTCTATGTCTCTCTCTTGTCTGTCTGGCGAGTGCACGCACCCTATAGCGAAAAATCTCTCCCCCCAAAAAATAAAAATAAAAATAAAATAATGCCACTGCAATCCAAAATTAACCAAAGAAAACCTTTTTTTTTCTGGACAATCTCTGTTTATTTTTGTGACTTGTCAATTTTAAGTCTCTGTTCACTTTTAAGTGAGAATTATTATCTTTTTCTTGTTGATCAGTAAAAGCCAGTCATTTGTTGTAGATGTTAAAAGTATTTTCTTGGGCCAGTCCAGCCTGGTGGCTAAGGTGGCTATATTCCACATGGCCAACAGCTCAGTTCAAGTCCTGGACCTGGTAGCTTAAAAACATACTAGATACACACATACACACACACACACACAAAAAAAAAAAAAAACATACTAGACACATGTGCACATGTGTCCTGAATCTTGATAGGATGGAGAAATGGAGGGAAGGGATTGTGGCATGACCACTCCTCACTGGGAGAGTGCTTTCTCTCCCCATTACACCCCCCCATCTCTCTATCTCAGGCGAGCACTTGTACTCTCTGAAAAAAATAAATTCAAGTCATTTGCACCAACACTACCTATTAAACGCTTATCTTTCAGCACTAACCTAATCATAAATATGTACTCACTGCTTACATCTATGGGGTTGTTTCTCATCTCAAACTTATTTTACATTATTTTATACTCAATTATTACTTTTAATTATTTTATTACTAATTTGCTACAGGGCACAGGTGCTCACCAGAGAGACAAGAGAGTGAGAAAGTGAGAAAGCAAACCACCAGGTTCAAATAAACTGGTCAGCCATGTGGGAGTCCAGAACCTTAGCCTCCATGCCACTTGCTGACCCCATTTTATTGTGTTATATTAATACACCAAAAATATATTTTTTGTTTACACTTCTATGCAAATGACAGAATACCGTTCCCGAGGTAAACAAAACATTCTGTTCCTAATTTGTTGTGAAGTGAATTAAATTTATGACTCAAAAGTTTGCAGTATCAAATCCTCCAATTAATGTTATTTTGTTTCTTATTTTCAATAACTTTTCTTCACTTTTAGTTTTGGGCAATTATCCCTAAATTTATATTTTGAGTCTATGTCTATTTTAAGTTTTTTTAAAATTTATTATTGGTATAAATAAAAAATAACTAACTAGAGTGTGTTTATTTTGTATTGAGTTAGTTTTAGATCTCTTTTTAGTTTCATTGTTACTGGTTGATTATATTAAATTTTATAGAGTATCTTCCTGATCATATAATACATTTCTTGTGTTGTCTTTCTTTTTCAAAATAACATTTACCTCTTTCTTTTTCATTACATTCTTAATTACATCCATAAATATTTTTATATTATCAATATCATCTCCAGAATACAGCAGGGAGTTTTATATTGTTTTTAGAACAACTTGAACTTTCATATCTAAATGTCAAAGAGTAAATAGTTTTTCAGTATTAAGATTTTGAAGTAGAGGTAATATAAAAAGCATATTTACATCTCCAAAAGTTAATATAGTATTCTAGTGATGTATGAACAAACCCGAAGTTCACTAAATTTTATGGAACATCATAATTTACCTTAGATGTTTTTTAAAGAGGTATTTGCTATAGGGTGCATGCACTCGCCAGACAGAGAGAGACAGAGAGACAGAAAACAAGAAATCACCCCCCAGGGGGGATGGCCATGCCACAATCCCTTCACCTCCATTCTCCTCTCAGGATCTTGGGCACGCATGCACACACACTCGGCATGAGTTTAAGCCACCGTGTCCGGGACGTGAACCGCAGTCGACTACATGGGAGTCCAGTGACATAGCCATTATGCTAACTATTGGTCACTTACCTTAGGTATTTTTTTTATTCTTGGAGAGGTTTTTGCTATAGGGCGCGTGTGCTCGCCAGACAGACAGAGAGAGACATAGAGACAGAAAGCGGGAAATCACCCCCTGGAGGGGATGGCCATGCCACAATCCCTTCTCCTTCATTCTCCTCTCGGGATCTTGGGCATGCATGCACACGCGCCTGGCGTGAGTTTTAAGCCACCGGATCCGGGACGCGAACCGCGGTCGACTATGTGGGAGTCCAGCAAACATAGCCATTACGCTAACTGCTGGTTCTCTCTTATCTTAGGTATTTTTAAAATATGGTTTATACATAATAAAATGCATCCTTTTTAAATATAGTCTGTTGATTCTGACAAATTTATACACCCACATAACCACCATCAAATCAATACACAGAATATGCTCATCACCCCAAAGGCTCTGTTGTGTCCCTTGGCCATCAATTTACTCACCATTCACCTTTGTTCTAGCTCCACAGGTTCATTTTGCTTCATCAAGTTTTCTCTAGAATTAAAAAAATAAAAATAATAAAATCAATTTTTTATGTATAATGTCACTCCTTGAAAATAATATTTTAAAGTTTGCTGGTGTTTCATACACCAATGTCTGATCCAGTCTCTTGCTGTTAAGCGCTGTGGGACCCTGTGAAGCTGCCTCCATTTGCTTCGTTCACCTGCACATTATCTATTGGGATTGTTTACAGTTCTCAGCTCTATGGACACAGTTGCTATGGACACTCATGTGGATGTTTGTATAAATTTATGTTTCTATTTTCTGAGGTAGGGGTAAATACCAAGGAGTGGAGCTGTCACATGGTATGCCAGTTAATTAGCTTATTGTCCTAACTCCAAATTCACCATTCACTACTTGCTCAGTAAAGACAAAGCTAGACCATAATTTTTTTTTTTTTTTCTTGGTGGGTTGGCAGACGTTAAGCTTTATCAGTAGGGATTCAGGAAAAGCAACAATAACAAAACATTTGAAGAAGTGATTTTCTTTCCTGATTCAGGTGTGCTCTTTCTTTGTTTTTATAGCACAGAAGATACTCCGACACCAGGCTCTTCTGGCAGAGGTGTTTCCCACAGTGCCTGATTCTCCTGGGCAGATGGCTTCTCCACCACCCAGCCTATGGCAGGTAGGCAGCTTCTCCCTTGTCCAGGGCCTCGAGATAACCTTTGGGTCCTCCCAGCAGGGACGATGGCCATGAATACATATACTACATGTAATACACTATACATGTATTATATATGTGTGTATTTGTATAATATATGTGTATATGTACGTGTGTGTGTGTATATGTGTGTGTGTGTGTGTGTATATATATATATATATATATATTTGTATATATATTATATAATATATATACCTCCCTGGTGGGATAATTTCTCACTTTTGCTATCTCTGTCTCTCTGTATCTCTGGTGAGTACACACACTTATAGCAGATTGAAAAATATATATACACACACACATATATATATATATATATATATATATGCATGTATAGAGTACACGTATACACATATGTATATATATGTATAAATATATGTTATATATTCATATATACATATATAATGTGTGTGTGTGTGTCTATGATATAGACAGTAAGGAGATTAAATCAAATTATAGTGTTGAAAGATAGACCTTGTGAGAGGTTTGGGATTGGATGAGCTCATGGTGGTACTCATATAGTGACTCCTACTGGCTTTCCAAGAAGAGCAGACCCACAAACACATTCTCAGCTCTTTCCTCCTTTCACATAACACCCTATGCCTCCAGAGAACTCTGGTGAATCCTTACCAGCAAGAAGACACTCACCAAATATAGTCCCTTGACTTTAGACCTCCATAATTGTGAGCTGAATAAACCTCTTAAGTTTTATAAATTACCCAGTGTGGTATCTGTTTTTGGCAAGAGGAAGTAGATTAAAACCAAAAATTGTTACCACGAAGTGAATGCTTTTTGATGAGTACCTGATAGTGTTGAAGCAGCTTTGAACTTGGTTAATGAAATTGAGTTCATGTCTTAAGGTCCCCTCATTTCTAAGGTGCCTGTGCCTGTGATTCTGACCAGCTGATGGGAAGGGTAGATCTCAGCATCAAGACCCTGTTATGGGTGCCTTTCTTTCTCTCTCAGAAGGAATACAGAAATACATAGATAAAATTATCAAGAAAACCAGAGCATGCCCTATACTACCTTAGGACATGGCAGAGCGTCCCCAATACAAAAGACCCTCTCCAAATGTGGCCTCTTGACCCTGACGTCCAAATCTCTGAGCAAAATAATCCTTTATTTTTTATTAATTACCCAGTTTGGTATCCAGTTGTTAACAACAGAAAAGCATACCAAAACACATATGTGTGTGAGATCATGAAGCATTTGTCTTTTTATGCCTGGCTTGTCACACAATGTCCTCGAAGCACATCCATGTTGTCACAAAAAAAACAGAATATTATCTGTTTTTATGACAATAGTATTCTATTGTGTGTATGTATACCATTTTTTTATCCATTCATCTTTTCTTTTTCTTTTAGAGGATTTTGCTATAGGGCGCGTGCACTCACCAAAAAGATGGAGAGGGACAGAAAGTGAGAAATCACCCCCCAGAGGGGATGGTCACGCCACAATCCCTTCTCCTCCATTCTCCTCTCGGGATCTTGGGCACGCACACACACAAACCTGGCAAGAGTTTAAGCCACCGGATCTGGGACTTGAACTGCAGTCAACTACATGGGAGTCCAGTGACAGACCCATTACACCAACTGCTGGTCCCTCCATTCATCTTTTGATGAGTGTTTTGGTTAATTCTTTATCTTGGTTGTTATGAATAGCACTGCAATGAACATGGGAGTGTTGCTGTCTCTCTGACAGACTGACCTCATTTCCTTTGAACAGGTACCCAGTACTGAGATCATTGGTTCATATGGAAGATACACAAAAAATTGCTTCACGTCCTATCAAAGAGATGTATGCCTTACCAATTGCAGGAAATAATAAAGAAGAGCAGCATTCAGCACAACCATAATAACTATCAATTGCTTGATGTTCAGAAAATATTTTATGATGCATGTCTTATAACGGTTATTTTTCAATAATTTTTTGAATATTGGGGAGGATAGTACAGACATGGAATGCTTTCTAATTTTCCCATTTTAAAAGTTATAAGAAAGTTACCCAATTACAATTATTACACACTACACTAATCTTTTTTTTTAAGGTTTTTGCAATAGGATATGTACATTTGCATGTGAGACAGAGACAGCGAGAGGGAAAGTGTAAAAATCACCCACCAGTGGGGATGTCCATACCACAATCCCTTCTCCTCTATTCTCCTCCTGGGTCTTTGGGCATGCATGCACATGTACTTGACATGATTTTCAAGCCCTCAGGTCTGGGATTCAAACTGCAGTCAGGTCATGTGTGAATTCAGCACCTTAACCACGACACTACATGCTAAACCCACAACTTATTTTAAACTATAAAACTCTATAAATTCCTTCCTACTAAACTTTCTTCTTTCAAGTCCTTACTTAACATATTTACCTATTCTTCCTATTTGATACACTCAAAAGGCCAATATGAACTCACTGTCTTCTCTTCAAAAATCTATTCCTTACCATCTAGATTAAGAATGGTACCTCTTGGACCAGCAGATGGCATAATGGTTATGTTGCTGGACTCCTATGTACCCAACCGTGGTTTGAGTCCCAGACCCAGTAGCTTAAAACTCACACTGGATGAATGTCCATACATGGTCAAAATACCAAGAGGAAACTGGAAGAGAAAGGATTGTGGTGTGGTCAACTTCTCTCGGATGGAGAAAGGTGATTTCTCGCTTTCTGTCTCTTCAGTGAGCACATGCACCCTACAGCAAAAATTTCTCTTAAAAAAATAGAGAATGGTAGCTCTTGAGCCCGGTGGTGGTCTGGTAGTAATGCGGTTGGGAAAGGTCCGGAGTGTGGATCCCAGGACACCCCTGAAACATGTCCATGCTCAGGCCAGCTGAGGTGGGTTTTTTCACATTAGAAAGACCCAGTTTGGGATGCCTGTCTCTCCCCTCCCCTCTGTCTTTCATAGAAACAAAAGAAAAAATGTTAAAAAAAAATGGTACCACCTTACAGAATTACCCAATTTCCAAAGCCATCTCTGCTATTATCCCCTGATGCAACCAATGACAGTGTCACACACAGTGTTCAGTCTTTGCATTTTATATATTGGCCATGACTTTCCTGCCACGATTGATTTAATTAGGATTCTCATCCAGATTCAGACTGTATTGCCCTTATCGTTCTTCCAGTGTTGCCAGAGTAATATTTCCAAATGCAAATATGACCATGCGATTTTCTTTCCTAAGAAATTGGAGGGATAAAACTCAAACTTGTTAAAATATTAATTAAAAATGTAACACCTCATCTCTTTTCAGCAAGTCTCATTCTACTACGTGCAAGGTGCTAGGTGTACTTTCTTCTGGTGAAACTTTTTTCTTTAATTCTCAAAATGTGATTTCTTAAGTATCTTGATCATGCATATGCATTTCCTCTGGGGCAGCAACATGGTGAACTTTCTTGCTGTGGTTAAATAGCTCTTCTGTGATTTCTGCTGATATTGCACTGATCCCCCAAATCTTTTCCTACAAAAACCTTCCTTTTTGAGATTTGATGTCTGTCTTAAAGAGGTAAAAAATCACCTAGTGATAGATCTATTGAAGTACTTAGAAAAGTGAATTTATTACAATTTTCCACTTAATTGTCTCCTCCACCTTCCTATCCAAACATCTTTAGGGGAACCAACTTTTAACAGACTCAGAAATGCTGGCATTGAACAAAATATATTGTGCCAAGGTAGGCAATGTTTTAAAAATACTCTTTTGATGAAAAAATCTCAAAAGCCTTACAGACTTCCTAGCATAATACTCCATATCAAATGTATAGTAGTATTTTTATCTGACACATCAAAATAACTAGAAGTTTATTTAATGTGTCCTAATTCATGACCTCCACTATATTTAGTCACTATTAAACAGCTAGGGTTTAAAATAATCCTCCACAGAAAAGATAAATAGGACAGTGGAAGACTTCCGTAGGGCACCAAGGTGCTGTAACGTCGATTAAATGAGAGACAAACTTTCAAAGAACATAGAAGGTGAAGGACAGTAACACGTTTTGAAAAGAAAAAAACTGTTTTCATTTCATTCTCCCAAATCGTCCCTAAAGACAGTAAAAAAAAATCTCAAGCGTGGTCTATATATTAGGGAGAGAGAAACAGCAACTGCAAGCTCAGGAGAATTTAGCTATAAACAAATAAATAGGCAATGTTTATTTTAAGGCACAATTTCTATCATTTTGGTGGGTTTTCGATTCCCACCATAATATTACAAGTGGCGGGTCACAACTTTTCAGCAACTGGCTTCAAATTACACAGGTCTTGAGCATAAGAACAGAGAGAGGGAAAAATCTTGCTCCATAGCCTGATACTAAGAATAAATTAATATATAAATAAGAAAACAAATACTATTTTTGTCTCAACTCATTGATTGTTCTTACATTCCTTCTATCTTGAACAATAGGAAAAGAAACTAGGTTTAGAGGAATCATTTTAAATTCAGTGGAAACATATATATATATATAGTTATTTAAAAATATTCTCAAATTTATTAGGGTTATATTTAGCTGTGAAA